CTCCTGGTACTTCATGGAGTCCATGATGCCATGCATCCTACAAGGTTCCCAGGGTCCTTAGAGGAAAAACAGCTCCAAACCTCACAGATCCTCCACCATACCTAACAATGGGGAATAGGTTCTTTTCTGTATATTCATCCTTCTTTTTGGGCCAAACTTATTTGTGGTTAGATAAAAGAAAAGGCTTTCTTATGGCAAACCCTTCCAAATAGTTTGTTGACAGGGAGGTAGAGTCTAATTGTACATTTGGAGAGTTGGTGACTACAAAATGTTTCCATCATCTGTAAATCTCTAACTGAGATCCTTGAAGAATGCTTTGCCTGTCTAAACTTATTGTAGGGAAAAATATACTTCCAGGTGGCCTCCATAATGGTACAACGGAGAAGCATTTGCCCCATTGTCAAAAGATTACAAGTTTGAATCTTGACAATGCCGTGGCCAGGAGCCAAGAGAACAAAACTGGGTGTAGGAGGAATGGCATACTCTCTAACCTGTCAACACTAGCCAATCATGGGCACCTGTGTATCCTATGAGTGTGTTACGATGTTCTGTTACACACCATCAGCACCAGTTCATAAATATGCAGTAGGCTGTGTCTTGGAGGAAGCACATGTTAGCCTTCACCCTCCCCAGTTGGTAGGTGTCATTTCATAGGGTTAACCAGTATGTGGGGAATTGGAAGGTCTAGAGAAACTAGAGAAAAATTCAAAAATATACATACACTTCTAGGTTACAGCAGTACAGTTATCATATATTATGAACAGAGAATGTTGTGAAACACAGTGAAATCATTCTAAAAATAGAGAAGATGGAAATTCAGACGGAAAAATAAAATCCTAGGAAATAAATTTAAATAAACAGATCTAATTTTTCTAAAGAACAGTGTGGGTAATCGCATTTCCCAACAATGTAGCATCAGCAGGCCGAAAGCACTGGCAATGCTGTTAGTCAGCAGATCCTAAAGCTCATGAGAAAAAAAGCCCATTGATGTAAAAGATCACAATGAAGATACAGAGAAATCTCTGAACACACACACACACACACACACACACACACGCACTTAATGGACTACATGTCCATTAAGTGTGTGAAACGGACACTACATGTCCATTAAGTGTGTGTGTGTGTGTGTGTGTTCAGAGATTTCTCTGTATCTTCATTGTAATCTGTTATATTTATGTTCAGCTTCCTTGACTGTGTTACCTTTTGCTTTTAAAAGATTGTCCAACTGAATATAAAAGCACCTACTATTAGTCATTTCAGCATGTGTAGGATAATGATTGTGATGCTAATGTTTTAGTTAATGTGTGTGTGTGTGTGTGTGTGTGTGTGTGTGTGTGTGTGTGTGTGTGTGTGTGTGTGTGTCGGGGGTGGGGGGGTGTTTGTCATACAGTGAATCTTTGCTAAAATCAGTGACCTCAGGCCTTTTAGAGAAGCCTATTCACCGCCCTGCCTGTGTCATTCCAGCACTATCCGTAATCAAAGGGCTTTTTTTTCTCATAAGCTTTAGGATCTGCTGACTAACAGCATTGCCAGTGCTTTCGGCCTGCTGATGCTCCATTGTTGGGAAATGCAATTACCCGTCTATTCTCACTTTTCGACATATCACAGAGCAAAGGGGTTGGTTAAGTGATAACTCAAAAAAAAAAAAAAAAAAACAGTAGATATAAAAGTAGAAATTGTGGGTCCGAAACAATAAATTATGATATGGCATTTATTTCAACAAATCTCTTATATGAAAAATATGTAATTTATTCTACCACCTGTTGATTTTTCCATACAAGTGTATCATTTAGCTGGTGTATATGCAAATCAGTCATACGGGAGTTGCTGCACCTGTTCACTTAAAGAGGTCCTCTTAGCAATCTGCATCCCTTTAGTACAGGTGACCATGGCAACAAAAAAAAAAACCTAAGAGAATGTAGATGAAAAATGCCCATCTGGTGCTGCCTTAGTCACTAAGATGAAATCGCCTGTACATTTAGGAGAATGAGGATGTACTTTAACTGAGGTTTTCACCATGCAGTCATTCTTCTGAATCTCAAAAGGCTCCACTTTTATCAGGACCCATTCCCACCTGTTCCTCTGAAAGGTCGCGCTGGAGGTGGTCTACATCCCTTGCTCCCACTTAACAGTCAAACAGTATATTCCCAGTGCCAGGAAATACAATCAAATGGAGTGCAGACCTCTGAAACCCCTCTATTGTGAGCGAGGGCTCTCTGCCACACAGGGTAGAACTATATGTAACAGTGGAAGGCGGCGTTCACTCATTAGCTTCTCCCCATTTCATCCCTGCCTCTATTGTGCCTTGCTTGCACAAACCAGACTCCCTGATGAAGAGCAGAAGAAAAGACTGTGAGAATTGCATGAGCGAGAGTAAGAGTGAGAGAGAAATTCATTATAGTAAGTGGGAGTAAGAAAGGATGTGTACTGTGTGTACTGTTTCGAGTTTAATTTCTTTAAAATAAAGCAAACGTGTGTAAAAATGCCTGTGGGATATTGCGACTGCGGTAGAAGGAAAGACACAAATCTGCAAGCACACATCGTACACGTCATCAATCACAATGTGAGCATGGAGTGTCACTGTGTTTGTCATGAAATAATCCAATATTCAGCATGAGAATCAGAAAAGGTCATGGCATAGGGCAGGTCCAGCCACTCCTTAATCTCATTCAATTCCTGCAGGTGAATACCAATCCATTTCCCTTCACTGCTTTCAAAAAAGGCTGGCCATTCATTTTTAGTCTGCAAGCCTACAATACCTCTTTCAAACTGTGAGAAAATTAAATCAGTTCTTTCTGTAGCCCACAAGTGTGAGGGAGAATCAGATGACCTCCCAGGGGCAACACCTAATCAAACATATAGGATTAGCAATGCAATTAATGGCAAATCGTTTCCCGAACACACCACTTCCATTATTGTGCAGAAATGTTTTAAAATTGTGAGTATGATATTGAATCCAAGAAGGTTAAGCTGAGTAAGACCTCATTTGCCTCAAATCCTTAACTAATTACAATCCATAATTGCTATTTTGAAAATTGCCTGTGGCAACTTTGGGGAACACTTTAGTTCAGGGATATTTTCTTGTTTTTTTTTTTTTTTGGTCTTTTTTTTTTTGCATCATCAAGTCTAATAATGCTCCACATTTCACACTCATCACTGATTGCAGGAAAGCACAAACACACAATCATTCATATGCAAAACATTTCTGCACAGCCTAAAGAGAGTAGCAATCCTTATTCATCAATGCACTGAGTAAACAGGTTTTAATTGCAAAAACAGCTTTCCATGCCATCCACAAACTCTGTCCCCTTTGGGCTTTGAGTGTGTTGGCCATACAAGTCAACAGACTGCTGATCCCAAGGCTTTGTTGATGTGCACTGGTCAGTTGAGTGACCTTCTCTAACGTGCATCTATCAGCCAATGAACCGTTCACCCAGCCATGTCACTTAATGGACATTTCAATGGCTGTGTGTTCACTCTCTGCCCAGTGGATATTGATTGACACTCCACAAGTGTATGTCCATCAGTGACTTTTCGAGGTCATGCCTGCAGAACCACTCATAGGTTCTTCACATGTGAAACAGTGTAAGAGACACAGTGTTAATGATGTTCAATAATTGCAAAGTAACCAGATAATAGTGGTTAGAAAGTGGCAAGAGTAACATTCTTGGACTGTAAACAATATAAACATAATAGACAGAGTATAAGTGCAAAATATTACTGGACTACCAATAGAAAAGCTGGAGGTACACATACTGTAGCAAAGCCAAAGACATAATTTTCATTATACACTGCTCAAAAAAATTAAAGGAACACTTTTTAATCAGAGTATAGCATCAAGTCAGTTAAACTCCTGGGATATTGATCTGGTCAGTTAAGTAGCAGAGAGGGTTGTTAATCAGTTTCAGCTGCTTTGGTGTTAATGAAATTAACAACAGGTGCTCTAGATGGGCAACAATGAGACGACCCCCCAAAACAGGAATGGTTTCACAGGTGGAGGCCACTAACATTTTTTCCCTACTCATCTTTTCTGACTGTTTTTCACTAGTTTTGCATTTGGCTAGGGTCAGTGTCACTACTGGTAGCATGAGGCGATACCTGGGCCCTACAGAGCTTGCACAGGCAGTCCAGCTCCTCCAGGATGGCACATCTATATGTACCATTGCCAGAAGGTTTGCTGTGTCTCCCAGCACAGTCTCAAGAGCATGGAGGAGATCCCAGGAGATAAGCAGTTACTTTAGGAGAGCTGGACAGGGCTGGAAAGGGTCTAGAGAAGCCATGGAGAACGTTATGCTGCCTGTAACATCATTCAGAATGACCAGTTTGGTGGTGGGACAGTGATGGTCTGGGGAGGCAGATCCATGGGGGGACGCACAGACCTCTACAGGCTAGACAATGGCACCCTGACTGCCATTAGGTATTGGGATGAAATCCTAGGACCCATTGTCAGACCCTACGCTGGTGCAGTGGGTCCTGGGTTCCTCCTGGTGCATGACAATGCCCGGCCTCATGTGGCGAGAGTATGCAGGCAGTTCCTGGAGGATGAAGGAATTGATACCATTGAATGGCCCCCACGCTCGCCTGACCTAAATCCAACAGAACACCTGATGTGTTTTCAAAGTGTTCCTTTAATTTTTTTGAGCAGTGTATTTTAGAAAGGTGCCACAACTAAGTGCTGAGAGAGTGACAAGGAAAAGGACTGCAAAATTGTGCTCTGGCACAAATTATACTTTTAAACAATAAGCTGTATGTATTGGTCAGAAAATAACATCAGCTCAAATATAATCACATCACAAACTAGCCATTTTATTGTGACAGACATGTGATACAGGTGAAACCAGGGATCATGTATGGAATAATGCATGATGTGGCATGCTGTTATAGGAAAATAGTCAACCCTGAACTGTTTTATTCCTCTTACACCACAGCAATTTGCCAGCACTGTACATTTTTTATTAATTAAAGAATAACACATTGTACTTTTTTCACATTATCTGTCCCTGGAGGACTAGTGGTTAGGCCACAGCGCACCCATTGCTGCGATCTGGGTTCGATTCCCGGCCAAGGACCCAACCCCGGCCACTGGGGTTGCGTGCACTCTCAGCGCTGGTCCCAAGCCCGGATAAAAATTGGGGAGGGTTGCGTCAGGAAGGGCATCCTGTGTAAAAACTGTGCCAAATCAAATACGCAGACCAATAATCCTCCTAATGGGAGCAGCTGAAAGAAGAACAACTTTTTTCAGTTTATGGTTGTGGAATTGGTTGTGAAAAACCAATAGCCAACAACAATGTGACTGCAACTACTCACAACTTTTTGAAAAAAGTAACATCTGATATACTGAATATCTCATGCTTTGGTCAAATTACAAGTTTAAAATTATGAACTCTTTTCAAAGCCATCCTTCATCTCCATTTGTAATATAACAACAATTAAACAAATCACAGATACATAGAAACAAAGAACATGCTAAACAAAGTGAGTTGTGAAACAGACTTAATAAATACAAAAACAAAATGGTGGAAAGGAAAAAACAACCAAAACAAAATGGATCCCTGCCTTACTCTGACATTTACTCCCACTTTGATTAGTAAAGAGCTACACAAAACATCGCAAATTAATTTCATTTTAGCCTAACACAAAATAAATAAATAAATGAATAAATGAATACATGAGACACAGCTCAAGTTTCCAGGAATGGTCCTGAACGACGCAACTGAACTCAAGTGTGCAAATACTTTAATCTTAGTGAGAAAAAAAAAACAGATAAACAAAATACACCAAAAATACAATATAAAAATATGAGATTTTGCTGATTATTAAGGCAATATTTATGCATGCCTGTCAGGTGACTCCCAAATATAGTTAGATTGGGCATTTAGTGCACTAAAGAGGCATTACAATACTCTCAGTACACACTACTTCCTGCACATAAAGAGTACAGAGTATATTCATGGTAAGATATCATTAAATCTAATTTAGTTACAGAATATTTGACAGCAAAATTAAAATGTAACAGAATGCTCCTATGTGTTTCTCAGAATACTGATGAATATGCATAAAGCATAAAGCATATGGAACATTTGTAACTTGCTGAAGGATGCTAATTATTTTAAATACAAACAGTATGTTGTGACACTGTAACTGTAAAGCGTACTGTAAAGATTATGTCCCCTTTTCTATTAAATTAACTTACACTTTACAGTTCTTTAAGTTGTAACAGGAAGAACTGTAGCTATGGTAAAGTTGGGCCGATTGCACTGTATCACTATTTCCAATCAGACAGCATTTTTTGTATTTTTTTTGTACTTTTTAAAATGTTAATGTTTTAATATAATATCGTGAATTTAGATTTAAATATCAACCAGGTTATATTTCTCATATACATACTGTATATTCTCATTCAGAATGAAACGTACACTGTTTGTTAAGATAATGCCTAGGAATAGAAGTTTACATAGGCAGGGAAAATAAAATGTTTAGTACGAAAAAGATAGGAACATACAATATAAAGAAAAAGTTGAACATATTAAGAAGAAGAAGAAAAAGCTCTTTCTATATCTGTCTCCCTCTGGTTCTGGCTGTTTATGTCTCGCCTGCTCCCTGTGGGAGAGCTCACGGTTCCTCCCCTTATAACTCTATTTAATGCTTTTCAGTGAGATATGATAATTCTACACAGCACCCAGCTGGCTCCTGACTCCTCTCTCCTCTCAATCTACTCCTCAGGCTTTGTGCTCATGACTGATCTTGATCCTGCTGGTTAATCGCATTGGCTTTCCACCTGCAGAGACCAATCTGCTTCCTCACCTATAACCTGCATTTGAAGGACAGTTTATTTGAGGAGGAGTGAAGAATTCCTGTTCCAAATAAAGATGACTTTTCTTTATTTAAAAAATGCATTTCCATTAAAGACAAGAGTGAATGTGGGTAATGTGGGCTTCTTCTACATTAACCACACACATTTCAGATTAATATAAAACACTGCACATCCAGCACAGCCAGTCCATTGGCATATGAATAACATTTACCAAAGAATATGAGTAGAGTTTTATTGATTTTTCAGCGCAGCCTTTCAAGTCACGTTCAAATTTTTGCCAGCAGCAATGAACATCCTACAGCTACCACTGTGAGTAGCAAATATATTCCTCAGAGTCCTTCAATAAAACAATTGCTGATTAAAAGGCTAAGCAATCATGTATATTCTACAACAGAGTAATCAGTGCTCTCTTATCTTCGCCCCCCTGTTGTTGGCAATGCACACAAACAGAAAACCACAACTGAAAGACATCAAGAAAAAGTAAGGCACTAGACAAACAGAGACTTCAGAGGCTCTTATTCTGAATGCTGGACTGAACAAAGCCAAGGGACCTAGGGGTAGGAAACTACTAAATCATATACAGACATTCACTGTCTCTTCCCTCTCTGTTGTTGACTTTACTGATGCACAAAATGAATATTCGGTGAGTGCTGCATTATTATTGACTATCATGCTTAAAAACAGTCAGAGCTAGACAAGGTCACAAAGCAGATGAAAGACAGAGGCTACAGAACAGCTAATCAATAAGTTATATAAAGTAAATAAAGCTATCAGAATCATAATACCTCAGCACACGCTCAGTACAATACAACAGTAGACATATGCCATGTGGCTCTCGCCACGTTCTTAAACAGCCAGACAGTGAGGCCCATTCAGGACCCGGAAAGAATTTGTGCCAAGTATGAGATGACGAGATGTCTCAAATACATCAAGTAGCCAACATATTTTCCAAAGTGACAAAATCACACATCAGCTATGATATAAGTGAACGTCACAGAAAATGGATGACACATTCCCAAAGAACTCACCTCTCTCCTCTTCTCCTCTTTATCAGAGCTCGAATCCAACACCTGAAATCACAGGAAAATACATTTTGAACAAATGTAAGCTCTAATGAACTTGTTCTGAACCGTAATAATACTGAGCTCAGTGACAGAGACGCAGGCCTGGAGACAGTGTGAAATGGATGAACAGCAGCAGAGAGGATTCACTCCCTGTTATGGCTCACACTCAGCTATCCATTATGAAAATGTGCAAACTGTGTCTTAGCTTGAAACACCCAGAGCAATGAAGAGATGACTGAAGAACACAGTCCTGTCTAAATCATGCAACATGTAGAGAACCTATATGAAGCAACCTTGAGGCCTAGTGTAAGAAAAGAATATATACAATAATCAGCTCTCTCTCTCTTTCTCTCTCTCTGCTGAGCTGTATGTGTGCTCCTGCTGTCTGATGGGATGTCTGATCCTGACACACTTCTACTGCTGTGGATCCTCTCACCCAAAAGATCTCACTTGTGACTCACTCTCTGCTGGTGGGGATGGTCCCACATGGATACCTTAAAGATTGCACTTCCCAAAACCAGTTTATGCCTAACTCTCACACTTTCTTCATTAATAATCTTGCCTGGATACAATAGCTTTTTACCTAAGAACTGCTGCTCTAATCATAAAGACTGTCCTGTGCTCAATCAAGGACTCTTATTAACAGTATGTTCATACTGAACATGCTTTCAACACACCAGGGTCATTTCTTGCTATAAGCAGTATAAGCTCCTGAAGCAGTGATCATAAAGCATTCATATCTATCTGGGGCAGAAAAATGCAAACAGAAAAAAAAACTGCAGAAGAGAAGAAACTGAATCCCCAAAACACCAGTAAGAAAATAATGCTCATTAACATAATGGATTAATGGAATAATGGAATAATGGATTTAGTCAGTTTGTCCACTTTCTTGCTTCCTCGTTTGATGTAATTGAATGGAAGGAGTTAGTGGCAGTTAGTAAGAAGTGTTAGGCTATGACATGTTAAATTGTTATGACTAAGCAGGAGCCGGTTTACTCATACAGGATAAAGAAGAACTGATTCTTTTCACTCTTACGTATAAAATAATATCACTGGTGTGGCTGGAGTCCCTGAGAAAGTCGTCACATAGGGCTCCCAAATGTTGAGAAATGGCCCTGTGTGGTACTGTTTGGCTTTATAGTATACCACTGTAGAAGAGTAATGATTTATTGATAAACCCACTATCTGGTGTCACCTAGAAGAGGATGTGTTCCCATTTGAGTCGGGTTTCTTCCTCATGTTGTCTCAGGGAGTTTTTCTATGCTGATGTAAGTTTTGGCTTTCTCTATAGAGATCTAAATATAAAACTACACTCCTGGGCACAAAATGGGCCAAGTCCAAAATGGCAAATATTAAGCTTTTAATGGTCTTAACAACAAATTATTGGTCAGAAAATTAATTAATTAATCCTGAGAGCTCCTGTGCCACCATTTGCTCATGTACTTTTGCTGCAATGAACTGTTGGGGAAATGCTAGAAACAGGGAGATTCACTTCTATAGTCTTCTTGTACCAAAGATAAAATCATGATAATGATTCAAATGTTTGATGTAAAATTCAAGCTGGGTCTGGGTGTACAAAATATTTCAAAAAATATCTTGGATGTTTTTTTTCTTAAAAGATTAGTCATTATTTGGTTCTCTGCCACATCTGATGCAGCCCGTCAAGGGCCACAAGACTTAAACATTTAAAGAAATCAAAGGGAAAAGCTCGCATACTAACTTCTATTTGTTTAATTCCTGCTAGTTTCCTGACCAATGATTTGTTGTTAAGGCCTTTAAAAGCTTAATATCTTGTCATTTTGGGGTTGGCCCTTTTTTTTGCCCAGGAGTGTACACACGGAATTCTGTAAAGCTGCTTTGTGACAACTCCTATTGTTAAAAGTGCCATACAAACAAAACTGAATTGAATTGAGCTGAATAGAAGGTGGGTAAGTGGATAGAGGAGTAAGGCGACTTTCTCACAACACTGCTTTTTGTCATCATGAAAATGTAGACCATCACCATGAGCAATCAGTAACAGTTCTACTGATTTCAGGAGTGTAAAGCTACTACAGGTAACAAGGTGAACTGAGTATAGCAGAATAGTGAGAAATCTCAGCGCTGGTTATTTACATGCATCGATGCATAGTTGGAAGGCACACACATTTGCATCAGCATCCCACACAGACCAAAATTAGATTATTAGCCACGT